ATCTTCGAATTATGTGTATATGTTTTCAAAAATAGATTAACTTTTACAATGAATCAGAATCTACATAACCATAACACAAGAATTAAGAATCACTTTCATTTGTCGTTAGCAAGGTGTAAAGTGAGTTCATCTGCCCCGGACTGCATTGGACCTAAAATATTCAATAAACTTCCTGAAGATTTGAGGTCTGTGAGACCCATAATTATGTTCAAAAAGATGTTGAAAGACTATTCTATCACTATTTTCTCTTCTCTATCTAACTCTTTTTTCATTTTCTACTACTGATTTATATCATATTGACAATTCCCATACAATGTTATTTGTCGAAGTGGGAATAAAGTATTATTATTATTATTATTAAAATAATAAGACTTCGTTATTGATGAATTTAACTACTAGATTCGATTGCACCATTCCATTCTCGCATTAGAACAGTGAACTCAGGATAATCAAAACAGAGGTGGCTATGTATTTATTGACTAATGGTTCATAAAATGACGAAAACTACCTTGGTAGTAACAACATACCTCGAAAATGAGTACATAATGTTAGAAGTTATAGCTAGTTGTGGAAAAAAGAAAGTATTGTATCTAATATCATCATACTATTTTATGTCTCATTACCATCTGATCTTTACTACACATTTCATTCCAGCACAAATCGCACGCCTCCATATACCACACCCTTCCAGCTATTACGTAATGAGCTGAAACAAAGTAGTTACATAACAATGAAGGAAAAAACGGTACTATAAACAGGGGCGCGCCTAGACACTTCGCCGCCCGTGTGCAATATGTTCTGGGCCGCCCTCGAAAAAATTTCAAATGAAACGAATTTTGAAAACTGATATATTTTGGAAACTGAAAAGTTACAAATAATATATCAAACTCGTTCCAAGATGTCTCAAGAGATGATTTCATTCACGGAACATAACATAATATAAATAAACATAAGTAACATAACAAATAATATACGAATTGAAAAATTCATATGAAATTTACATTATTTCATTGACATATGAGGTTCAGGTAATACTTTGAGAAAAACACATGGAGGGGCGATAATATCACAGTGAAAATCATAGAGAAAATATCATTTTTCTCGCTTTCTGCTGAGGAAATTCTTCGATGAGCATGTCAACATCGATTGTTTCTGATAATTCAGATTCGAAGGATATTGAAGCAAGGTCCTGGCTCAGTTTAGACCTCAAATAGTTTCTTATTATCTCCAAATTAGAAAATGACCTTTTTCCATTAGCAACTGACACCGGTAAACTTAATAAAATGTATATACTGTGAAATTTGTTGTGGAAGATTTTCTATTTCTCAAGATAAATCACTTTCAATGATTTTAACTCATTGAATAAATCTGTCCCGTCTATATCTGCGTCCTTGTGATTTTCATCTGTTAACTTTTCTTGCAAATTTTCATAACTTTCGAGTAAACTTGTTCCATCAAAAGCTAACTAAAAAAATCCAGAACATTCATTATAATCTTTGAGAGACTCGAATCTCTCATCGAGGGAACATGTTATTTGGTCAGTGATGGCATAAAAAAAATATCTTCAATTGGCGTGCTGTTGGTAGTCAGTCTGATAATCATCATTTCCCTCGTGCATAATGAAACAATTTTGGTCTCTCTCTCCTTCTAGACGTTTCTGGAAAGTATGTTTCAGAATCTGAATTATCAGCTATTGTCCGAGAATTTTTTCAAAATTTTTGAATAGTTTTCATCGGATCTGAATGCAGCAAAAAAAATCTCAAATTATTCAATTGATCAAGACATGCTTCAATATTGAGTGTAGAACATGGAAAGAATTTCCTACAGATGTTGATTTTTAACAAAATTTCATGATGCCATATCAGTATGGAACAGATGAATCGAAATTTATCATTTTGCTAGCCATTGAGAATACTTTGTGTTTAGTCGACAAATCGATACTATCATCTTGAGATACTTCCCACAAGTGCATTGAAAATGTTCTTAGTCTGATGCCGAAAAGGTTTTCGTACGCGATATCGCACAGACAAAATTTTCATACAATTGCCAATGGCTGAAAAATTCAATTCTTTCAATACTCAGCTAATGCCAAAGATTACTGAAAAAGTTCATCTTCTGTAGTTTATGCTAATGCGAAGCGATGGTAGTATATCGCGAAAAATCGTGCCGCTATCGTCCTGACTCCTGTGGACCACCAGCGTAAGCAAGGTCGTTTGTTCTTATTTTTTCTTCTATTAAGTGTTGTTAATTTACTGAATGGGATTGAAATTTTATTACGAGGATTTCCATAGTCTACAGAGTAATATAATGTTCAAAATAACGAAGTATTATTTAGTATCTCGTGATTGGCCGCCCCTGAGAGTGGCCGCCCGTGTGCGGTGCACGCAGTTGCCACTGTATAGGCGCGTCCCTGACTATAAATAAACTATCACAGCAGTTAACAATAGTACCAGGGGCGTCCCCACAATTCCAAAAATATTACCAATAGTATTATCACGATTTCCTGCATATTCGAGATAATTCTGTCGCTTTTTTGTTAACGAAATTGCTGTGTTGCAGAGCAACACCGCACGAGTCCGTCAGGACGACTGATGATATTGCTCTACGGCAACACAGACAGCATTATGAGAAGCTATTCAGAACAGCGTGGTATTTTGCTAAACTGTCCTGAGGCGTAAGACGCATTTATTATAAATAAAAAAGTCATAAGTATATATTATGTCCAGAATGATTCATTCTGACATCTACAGCTATACTTATTCCATGTCATACTGATAAAATTTGCCTTGCAATCCATTGTTTTATCGTTGATAACACCAACGCTGATAGACCAATCAGAATTGAAAGGCAGCTAGTATTTTCGCGATAATACAAGTTGTCTAATTTGGCTTGTGATGCTCAGATAATGTTAAAATTGTTATTTGAGTGAAATATTCAGAAGTAATACCACGTGTCATTCAAATTCCATCGATATTGTTTTATTTTCCACGAAAGATCGAATCCGTCATGATACTTTTAACTCAAATGAAAAAGTTTGATTGATGAAAATAAAAATATTTTATCTGACGAGATTTTAAAAACGATTAGCACTTGGAAAAGTTATTTTCTTCACTATGAGTAAATTTGCCGTCTTCCTTGTATGATTGATCTAATGATACAAGCAAGTTCTCAACAAATTGAACGTTTTTGTTTTCATGTTGAATGACGATTCGAGTGGTTACATTTTGTTTCCATATATAAACAACGAATACTGGATTTGATTGTTACACATGAGATATAGGGGTGATTGGGGATTTAGCGAAAAGGACTGGTTTTATTAGTATGATACCAAAAAAAACACATTGCTCATGGTAAAAATCATAAGGATGTCCCCTAACAACACCATTTCTCATGTAAGAATCCAAATACTGGATTGAATCAGAAAGATTGATATGATCCGCCACTGGTTTCTAGAATGCAGGTTCTACGTAATCTTTGGTACTACTAATACAGAACGACTCATAGTACCGTTTCACAATTTACACTCAACGAAGAAGACGGCCTTGTGAAGGTCAGCAGGTTGAAGAATCGATGAATGAAGATTCTCTTGGCTGGTTCACTGCTAATCGAAATTTCATTACCAAAATGTCACCGAACCTACATATACAAATACAGGTTTGGGATGGAAACATTCAGAACAGATCATCAGTCAGATATTCAATTTTTCTTATTGTTATGACGAAACTCTGAGGTCAATAGAGTTGGAATCATCTAATTACATCATTTAAACTCAATTTTCAAACGACAAATATCAATCTAAATAAATTATAGTCTCGATAAAAATTTTATTCTAGTACCCAATACTTTTTTTTATGTTCTGGTTCCCACGAAAAGAAATATCCTGTAATGTTCAGAGAACATCGTGAGAACCAAGGAAAATAAGGTAGGAATTGGTGTTCTTATTAAATTTCTGGAGGTTATATGCCTCGGGAAACAGCTCCCTTGGCAATGTGTTCCAGAGCCTCGCTGTTCGTTGGATAAACGAGTCTTTGGAAAGAGATGTTCTGCAGGTCTCCAAAGTGACCACAAAGGGGTGCGAAGCCTCAACTCGACGGGTTAATCTCGCGGGGACTGCCAAGGGAGGAACAATTGTTGATATTTCAGAAGAGCATCGTTCATCAAAATATCTATAAAATAGAGCCAGATTGCCAACTTTTCTACGGCGTTCCAGAGAAGTGAGTGAGTTTGTGAGCGAGATATCACCCACGAGACGAATTGTCCTTTTTTGGACAGAATCCAACAGTTTCAGGGTATGTTTGGGTGCTGCACTCCAAATATGGAAACAGTATTCCAGGACAGGTCGGATCTGTGCCTTATAGATCATGAACAGCTGACCGGAAGTGAAATAGCTCCTGGTCCGAAACAGCAAACCAAGTTTTTGGGATGCACTTTTAGCAATTGATCTCACGTGATTTTCTCAAGAAAGGTTATACTGGTACAATGAAATGAGTTTGAAATTATTCCATTGTACTTTTTTTTTAAATTTTGTAGAAATCTCATCGTTTTCAAATTAGTTACAATGTTTGTTCAAAAATGGAAGTGGAGCAAAGTGTTTATAATTGGTTACGAACGAATATTCAGAATACCTGCATCGATTGATTCGCTACTGTAATGCTTCTGAGAAATTATTATATAACAAATATTATTAATTAAATCGTTATGTATCTAGATCAAGTGAGGTATGCTTATCGAAATATCATAAAAATGTGTACCAAGTCATTCATTACCTAATTTTCGGTTTCGATCAATCAAATTGTTTCAAATCATGACAGTTTTCAAAAACAAATTACATAAGTTATGAATTTTCGAACATTGACAACACCCAAAAGTGTAGCCTCTAGCCAAAAAATCATGATAAGAGTAGAATGTGTGTGGAAGGCTGATCAATATAAAAATGTGTAGGATCATTTTTCAAATCAGTATTCACTCAAGATTACTAGTGTATCAATAGAACAAACACAATGGTCACCAAGGTAAGGTTTCTTCAATGAATATTAACGTCATATTCAACATCAATCAATTACTAACAAGATCTTGAAAAATGGGCATGAGAATCCAATTGTCATCGATGATTTTGGAAATTCTTTAAAAAAATGACTTGAAGTTGAATATGGAACCCCAACTTCATTTTTGAAAATTCTCAATCAATCAATATTTTTTGTTTTACTGAAATGTATCAACGTTGTACTGTTTTACGAAGACCAAATTGACACATCATACAGGAATTATAAGACTTCAACTCGTGATACTATCTTTCTAAAATGCCAAATTACGATCTGGTTTCTGTAACTACTTACATAACAACTTTCTCATCTAGCTTCACATTTCTACACCCTCATACAATATCATAAATCAGGATTTCCATGGAACATTAACACCATATTATTTTACAGGTACTAGGATTGGCTCTTTTGGTAGCTTGCTGCCAAGCTCTCCAGAACGACCACCACAACACACCCACCTCCTTCGTATCATTCAACGACAACCACAACATGGTTCACCACATCCAATCAGCACCCCAGCAACACTACGCACCCCAACAACATTACTCACCCCAACAACACTACGCACCCCAACTTCATTCTGCAGCTCCAGCCCCCGTTCAATACTCAGCTCCGTCTCATTCCAACTACGCTGCCCCATCTCATTCCAACTACGCTGCCCCATCTTTCTCTTCTCACCAAGCTAGTTCCTTCTCCAGCTCGAAGCTGTCCCCTTCTAGTCAGTACGGCGCTCCTGTCCAACGTTTACCCCAATTCGCACCCCTTTCTCACCAGACAGCTGCTGTTTCATCGTCTTACCCCTCCCACCAAGCTAGCTCTTACTCCAGCTTGAACTCGTCTCCTTCTGGTCAATATGCTGCACCAGCTGCCCATCTTTCTGCTAAATTCGCTCCTATTTCTCACCAAGTAGCTCCTGCCGCTCACCAATTCGCACCTGTGTCTCACCAGGCAGCCCCTGTCTTCAAATATTCAGCTCCTGTATCCCACAGTGTAGGTCCTGCTGTGCAAGTAGCTCCTTTGAACTATGCCCATGCTGCTCCAGCTCATCATGAGGAACAATATGTAAGTATAGTTCGAGATTAGTGTGTTAGGGAATATAAACATATCGCACGATGAGAACAATGGTATGATAACTAAATTTTTATTTGTTTTGACCAAAACGACTTAGAAAATTTTCAGTTTCTAAAGGTGGTTCTATGGTGTACCTACTCCATTCACCGCAAAAAGTAACTTCACAGTTATTTCAAAGACCGAATCTGTGTTCATAGGACTAGAACCATACTTTGGGGTCTCCGCAAGTGCGGCCGAAACAACTATCTCGGACTGGGTGGAAAGAAAAAGACTCTCGCACTGGTCTGAAGTACCAGGATTAACCCACTCGAAGGCGTTCCTGCCTGAACCAACGAAAGAAAAGACCAAGCAGATCCTAGAATGGAGCAGAAGTAACCTGCGAATTCTGACAGGACTGCTTACGGGACATTGTCGTCTAAGACATCAGGAGAGATGGGTCTGAACCTAGAAACGGTCTGTCAGCTCTGCTGTGTGAAAGACGAAATGGCTGAACACAAACCATGTTCATGCTCTTGCTCAGAGAGACCAAGGTTCGACATATTTGGCTATACCAATTCAGAACCTATAGATTTCAGACAAATCTAACCTCATGCAACCATGGACTTTGTAAAAGTAGATTGTACAGTGAACTGTAACCTCTAGGTATGACCCATTTGAGGTCGCAGTGGCTGGGTGATATTCGACCCACTTATGGAACCTAACCTTACTTAGTTCAAAGAATATACGAAAGAGTCATAGTTACGCTCACACGCGGTTTTTCTTCGTCATTAAATTTTTTGGAATTTTCCAAGAAAAAGTTTCGAGTGCTCAGTCAACTCAAAAAAGCACCGATATATCATGGAATGAAATAACATTTCAAGAAATTTGCATATAACAGTAGACTTCATTGATATTCATGGATAGATCTATTGAAGAGGGGCAACGTGCCCTAAGTCACTGTTATTTTAGCAAACCCCAAATCGTGCCCTCTGGTTGCTAAGCATCACTCTTCTGGCAGTTTCTATAATTTCTTCTCAGTTTCTAGGTGGAATCAGTCAAGAACTTCAGTTGAAGTTTTGAGCCCAATGAAGCAATAACTTCCATTGAAAATTCGCCCAAAGTTGAAATAACATAGTTCGAAAAAAGAGGTGACTAGATACGAAGGTAGTTGAACATTCTGATTGGAGATACTACCTATATTAAACGAAATTCAGAAATGAATCTATTCTCGCGAATGTCTTAGAACACAGAAATTCATATTTGTCAAAATGTTCAATCCAAAGGAATTACGATGCGTTTTTTCTTCTTGAGGGCTCTCTTCTCCTTTGTTGTTGCTTTTTGTCAATTTTTCTGCATGCAGAACATTTCAAGGGACCCGTTATTCCTACTCCATTTCACCAACTGTAACGCTTGCAATAATATGACCAGTGTTGTCACGTAGCAGAAGTTGGACCTGGAGACGTTGACATATTTTACGCTTACGCTGACGATTCTTCTGTAGAGCTTGATATTTGCTATTCAACGTTGGTTATAACTCAAAAATCAACTTTTCTGAATTGTCATACTATCGTTCTCAACGTGCGATATATTGTCCTAATAAAGGCAGGTTTCTGCAAAATGACATAGAGCTCTACATCAATTTGAATCAGCATCAGAGCAGCATTTACAGTTTTGTAAATATAGTGAATATTTCATGGAAATCTGAGAATGAACTATATTAGACCTCCAAATGATATGAATGGAGTTATTTAACGGGAATGAAACATAGTGGGGATGATTGAATTTTTGTATTTTTTCAGGCCCCTGCCCAATACGAATTTTCCTATGGAGTTCAGGACCACCACACTGGTGACATCCATTCCCACCAGGAGTCCCGTAAGGGAGACCACACCCAAGGAGAGTACTCTCTCCACGAAGCTGATGGTACCATCAGAACCGTCAGGTACAACGTAGAAGGACACAGTGGGTTCAACGCTGTAGTTGAGAGGTCAGGACACGCCCAGGCTCAGGCTCAGGCCCACCAACCCATCAAAGCACTAGTACCAGCTCACCAACAGCAGTACCATCATTGAAGTTGACCAGTTTATTGTATAGATTGTTGTTGTTTTAAGAATAGTGTAGATACTTTATGATGTTGATGTTTTAATAAAGGTTTAAGCTTAGCAGTAATTTCAAGTTTGACTTCCTTATTATGTTTCCTGCATGTGTGTAAAAACATTCGATACTATACTAGAATCTATTTTCTAAAGTATTCGAACGAATCACTTGCGGTTTTATACACAAGATGTAAAGTCCAGTGTGTCCATGCTTTTGCGTGATATCTCAGTTACCTTTGGAGATAAAATATTTCGGTTCTCGTGGTCCTGTACCACTTTTCAATGTAACTCAAGATGGCCAAATCAGATTTTTCATAACTGTTTCCGTTTGTGAGTTACAGGGCGATTTTGAAAATCCATACTTCCTGAAACCCCTCTATATCTACGAAGAATCCCAGCGAAAATTCCAAACTAAAATATTTCCCCATATGGAATTTCACGCAGAATCCAGTGGCGTACCTACTCGTTGTATGGTTTTGCAGATACAACTCAAACTCATGATTCTTTAAACAGAACACCCTGTATTTCATAAGCTCATCAAATTCTTCATTATTTTTTCTTCGAATTAATATGTAATGTATGCATATAAGGTTTTCAAAAATGCCCAAAAATCACAAAAACATTGAATTTTAATAGTGGGCTATTGATTTTTTATATAAAATAGAATCAAATTGAAGGAATATTTCTCTTGATTTTTCCATGGAGAGGACAAAAACAATATCAACGCTAATCAAATATCAAAACAAAAAAGTTAGGTACTTGATAGCAACAAACAAATAGTAATAAAAGGTTCATAATGTAGAATAAGTATCTGATTAAATATTTTTTCCGAAAACAATTGAATTTCGAGAATATTCAGTTACTTATTCATTGAATTGTCCAAATCGATGTCCATCTTCCCTAACACACAATTGACACACTTTCTCAATACGTCCCAATAAAGTAAGAGGCACAACACCGTAGAAAAGTCGGCGAAGTTCCACTTTTCTATAGATACACTTCCACGGGAAATGTTCCTCAGGAATCTCCGCTATAATTCCATCACTAGGAATACCAGTCAAACGAACTCGGCAGGCCCAGTCAGCACATCCTTTCGTCATTAACCTTGAAAACTGTCGAACAACACTCTACCAAAACTTGTTCGTCTATAGAATGGCGGTCCTATGGAATTATTTGCCAATGGAAGTATTTCCAAGAACTTATAACCCCCAAAATTCCAAAAACAAAATTCCAACACCTACTTTTCCACCCTGTCCTACCTAGGTACGCACGATCTTCCACAGACATTATTGGAATTTCCTTTCGTTCGCTCCAAGAAATAGAAAGAAAAAACAATCTTGAAGAACTTCGTGCAACAATAGAGGTAGTTTTCCAGGACTCACAAAGACATCCTTTAATGATTTTGAATGCATTAAGACGTATTGAGACAGTGTGTAAGAGAAAATTTACATGAGATTGAACAATTCAATGAATAGGTTCATGAATAATTTCAAAATTCAATTGTTTTAGTGAATAATTATATTAATCTGTTGTGTTTTGTTAAATGATCAGTGTTGTTATTGTTTTTGTCATCTTCATGGAGATATCCATAGCCCACTATTAAAATTCAGTGTTTTAGTGATGACCTGTTCTCACAAGAATGAATGGGAAATCAGAAAAAATACAATATATTCATTAGATAAACCCAATAATAATTAAGAAATCCGATAGGATGTAATATAAGAGAGTTCCTCAATTAAAAGGAATACCTTTTGATATTTCAATCATTGACTGTCATGGATTACGTTATTGAAAAAGTGTTAGTCAGAATGAAGGATTTGACTCAATCATAAAATGATTCGATTATCTTCTATAAATATTCTCCAGATAATTTGATTCGAAATTAAATTCATGACCAGAATTCCTGTTTCATGATACACCCCTAATATACCTGACCTCAATTCGATTGACTTAATGATAATATATGGAAAATCTCATTGCAATTACCTATACGTTAATAACACCATTACATAAATTGTCGCATATTGATAGATCTCGATATAACCGTGAATATTTCCTTATTTAATTGCACAAAAACAAAACCACCAATGTAACCTTCAACCATGACTTATTAGGTCAATACTGAATCTGTCTATGAACAAAACTTTCAAATTACGGAATAGTTCATAGCCGATGAATTCGATTTTTTGTCAAAAAACAATATGATTTGAAGGTCTAGGGTAACAATATAAATACCAGGAAGTGGTTACAGAATTCAGTCAGTGTCTATTTTTCCGTTGTATTGAATAAATTAGCCATCATAAGATGTATAACAAAGTGAGTTATAATTCAATGAGGAAAATGAGTGTTTGTAAAAATTTCAAAATATTTATAACTGTGTGAAGTTTGGCCCACTGGCAATCAAATGCTGAAATAGTTATTTTCCTAACAAGTGCGCAAAGTGTTATTTTTCCGCACGCAAATACAGTTAGGCGAGCGACGCGGAGCGGAGTTCGAATAAGTTTTTCCGTGCGGGGAAGACACTTTGCGCACGTGTTAGGAACAACGTTTTTCCTACGAGCTTCATCAGATAAAAAGGAAAATAAAAAAAAATATAACTCATTGAAAAATGTAACTATACAACAATCACATATATAACAATAAAATATAATAATAGAAAATCACATTTTCCCTACGAGCTTCATATCAGATAACGAAATTAAAAAAATTTCAACTCAAATTACAATTTATTGAATAATTTTTAGTTAAACTTGATAGAAATAGCTTAATAACAGACAATTTCATATCAATAAAATATAATGATAGAAAATCGAATAATTTGTTCCTAATATTTTTATTGAGGTGAAATACAAATATCGGGAAGAACGGTTGAAAAGTAAAAGGGATAACGGCTTCTTATAGTGCATACAATAGTCTACAGCAACTAGAATGAATATAAATGTTCCATACCAGTGAGATTTTTGGGTAGTTTTACTACACCCACATCCGCACTGAGTGCGGAAAAGTATTACTTTGCGCTCGCAAATGAGTGCGAAAAAGTACTACTTTGCGCACGCTCGTAAAAAAAAAGATTTTCAAGATATCAAATCCCAATAGTGAGAGATGATATTTTTTATTTCAGATTGTAGTAATTTTCGCTGTTCTTTCTTGTTCATTGGCTCACTATGTACCGGTTTATTCAGAACATGGACCCTATGAGTACAACAAAATTGTGAACAGCTATGGAACACCTATCTACGAGGTTCCTGTTGGAAATGTCTACGGATATGGTCATGGATACGATGGAAACTACGCTGTAAGTGATATTCATTGTAATATTCTCACAGAAAATAGATATGAAATATTTTATTTTCAACATAACTTTGTGTTGCTGAAGTTCCTACTTCTATATCGAGATAATGTAACAGTAGGTTATGATTCCATATCCTGCTGTATATCACTGAGATTCTCACGTCAATACTATATAGATATCCTAATCACTGTAATATTCTCTCAACTGTGTCCTAATGTTGCATTATCGCCCAGCATCGATACTTATATATGTCTCATCGTGTTCCTTATTTTGGAAACGATTGAACTGATGAAAATGCCTTCAGAATAGTTTCATTTTTGATTGATTACCAGGATGGTATTCTTGCCAAAATTCTGATTATTCAAGAGAAACACTAAGTTGACGATTCAAAAAGTTTAAGTTCATGTCGATATCCTACAAAATGTCATGCAGCTCAATAGCAACAGTAAGACAACTTGATATCATTAATTTAGAGCAGCATTCATTGATTTCGGATTAACATAATTTGGAATATACTTGGAAGTTCAGAGAGTGTCCAAAATTTCAATGACATGCGTTGACTAGAGCCCGAAATATTTGAGTTTGAAGTTATCATGAAAATTTTAAATCGAACTCGGACCCAATATTTCGTTGATATCCTAGTGTTACATTGAGGTGACATCTTGTTTTTCATATATCTGCCAAGTAGCCGAATCTCATTTATGACAGTATTTGAAATCGTCAGTTTATTGCATATTGACAATAATGTTATCTATGACCAATAACCCTCTATGTTTCCCGTTTGAGAAAAATGAGACTTCATAGATCATTACTTGATATTGCATCTTTTCGTGATGTGAAAGTTATTTTCTCTCAACTTCAAGAACAACCACGTTATTCACATATGTTCAAAAGTCGGAAAATTGAACGAAAGTTTGAATAGGTGACATAAGGTACTGAAATGAAGCAAGTGCTGCCAGACATTTGAAGCAATCAAGAAACCAGATTTTTCTCTACTGTTGAATTGAGAATGGGGGATCATTGCCTGTCATGCCGATTATAAATTGTGATTTCTTGGGTGATATCAAATTCCATTCGATATTTCCATGATCAAGAAATTAATTTTTCCCAATTCAGTGGAGATGATACCTCGAATAATCATTCTCATGTAACGAGTAGCAATGTTGGAAAGGAATATCCTCAGATATAATATGAAGATGAAGGAAATGGATACACATTTGAAGAAATACATTGAGAATGCGCATTATGCGAGAATATATTTTTTTTCTCGGTGTATTCAACAGAAAACAACTACTTTCCTGGCTATATGCCACGACGAACATTCAATTAGATTTATTGAACACACACGATAGGAATTTGAAAATCTTCTGAAGTTGAGAATTTGCATTCTCTATCAGATAACACATATCCAGGGTGTTCCATAAGTCGATCATGGATCAAAATGAGTGAGGTGGTAGGGATATCATTTCCAATCATTCTGAACGTATATGTATTCATCCAATAGTTGATGATTCAAAAGTTATTTTTTTTTTCATTTCTATCGAAAAAACTAATCACAGTAAAGCTTCATCACATTTGTGATATTCTCTTTTACGAATTGCATTCACATGGATGCATCTTTTTCCATTAATAATATTATGTCATGTGTTTCTTCTAATTATTCACTTGGAAGAGATGTTGTTTTCCTTGAGTTTTGTGATGGAATGGAATAATGAAGATAACCAATCATGAGAACAAGTTGCCATTCAATACAGTTTTTATCTTCTCCTGAAGATGCTAACACAGTTAGCGAAACACGTGTCGAGGAGTAAAAAATCGGCTTGGTTATAGTGGTGAAATAGGGCGTAGTGTATTATCGTGCAAAAGGTTCCAGTCTTCGATATGTTCATAATATATCTGAGAATATTCCATTTCAATACTTCCATACCCAATCAAGGAGTTCAAACTTGGACGATGGAATTTTTTTTTATAGACCTCTTATCGCAGATTCGTGATTGGGTTTTCTCAATTCATGAATGATGAATATCAATTCGTCATATATGCGAACAAAATGCAATCGAAATGATGATGACTACATAAGTCGAAGTTATAATCACGGATGTTCATCATCGAATTCACGAAAAAGAAATTCAATAATCAACCATTGATTCTATCTTTTTTGGGGACGGACAGTTCTTGGGTTTTGGATTCAGTAAATGATTATGTTTTTATTGTATCATGTGAAACGTTACGCCTATGGCCATATTCTTTTTCAATTTTCATTCTCTATTTTTTACATGAAATTCACTGGTACTGGAAAACATTGTGTAGATAGAGTCTCGTGCTGTGTACAATTTCTGCCTTCTGATAGTCCTACGAAAACTATAAAATGCACACAGCATGAGACTCTATCTACCCTATATTTTTCAGTACCAGGTAATTTTATGTAAATTTATTCTTTCTTTAATCGGAATATCTTGTTTAGGACTCCTATCCCAAATACAAATTCGCCTATGGGGTCAACGATCCTCATACTGGCGACCACAAATCCCAAGCTGAGGAAAGGGACGGAGACGCTGTCAAGGGCTACTACACCGTAGCTGATCCCGATGGCACCCTTCGTACAGTCCACTACACTGCAGATGACCACAACGGGTTCAACGCAGTCGTGGAGAGGCAAGGTATCCCGGTACACCCGGTACCAGTTGTGGAGAAGGTTGTGGTGGAGCCTGTGGTCTACGAAAAGGTTGTTCCAGTGTATGGTGGGTATGGTCACGGTCATGGATATGGTAACGATGATTCTGGATATTATTGATAGTTTTGTTTCCAAATAGACCATCACGGTGTTGTGATATATTCATGTCAGTATTAGAAATGTATGTTTAAGACAATTCTGGATGTTTTGTTTCTGATTAGTCCATCACGTTGTTGTGATAGTTTTATGTCAGTATTAGAAATGTTATTAACTGTAAATTATGCAATATATGATATTCGTCATTCATAATGGTTTTATTTTTTGCAAAAATGAATGAAGCTGTTTAATGTATTCAATAATGAGTCGCTGCTGGTTCTTAGGTAAAAGATGCATGAACAAATAGCAGGTAGGATTTTACTGATATAAAGACAATACATAAGTCATAACTATTCAAAAAATACACGTATATCTCAGAGAAAACAGTGTGTGACAGTCAATTACTTTGAGTTAGTACACTCCAAGATAACACTGAGGAAAATTCCTATTTACGATAGTCAGAAATCGAATTACCCCAGCAAGAAACTATAATAGCATAGGGGACAAGCGAGGTATCACCTGTGATTAATAAGTCGACTTTGCTGATTATAACCCACCTGCGATGTTGACCCTTGCTGCCACTAGCGAGTGCATCTATATATTGCTATTAGACGATGTTTCTGTAGTAGGTATCTGACTTTGCTACCGCTAGTGAGTGCATCTAATAATGAGAGCAGGGCAATGTTATAACCGTAGGTAGGGAACTTTGCTACTCTTGATGGGTGATCATATAGATAATCGCATGACCTTCTAGCTGTAGTTATTCAGTTATTTTCCAGGATTGTTGTCATCAAGAAAGGTGAAATTTTGAAATTTCGGACCAATGATCTTTGGAAATCAATAGATCAATTGATTCATGCACCCTCAGGACAAACAAAAGGTTTTCGAGTTATCAATGGAGAGAATATTTTTGCTCACAATAAGTTTTTAGAACACATTCTATAGAGAAGCTCTGGAACATATTTGACAATTTTAAAGTTTCATGGTACCAAAAAGAAGGAAATGTTGAATGTAAAATATTTGGTAATAACTGAAGCTCTCAGATCTGCGAATGCACTGAAACGGACACAGAAGATTTTTTTATTCGTTCGAAAATGTTTCCATTTTATATTTGAATTCAGATTCAGATTTTAAATAATGAATTGAATTCGTAACTGATGTCGTGTCGTCGAGATTGTCGTCCTGTACATGGGTTTGCATCAAGAGCTCAACTGTGAATGATTGATCAAGCAAGATGTCTGACAAATGCTTATATAGAGGGGGACAAATCAGCAAAATATCGAATAAAGATAAGTGGGTGCTAAATAACCCCAGGTTCGTCAAATATTATTTTCGTAGCAGACTTTACAGTTGTATTATTGGTAGTGAGTGCAATTCTATTCGATGAACCGCGCAGCCATGCATAAACAGATAACTCACTAATAGTAGTTTATAAAGGCAATTATGAAGAGAAATCAAGCTATCCCAGATTGGCTCTCTGATAGCGATAGCAGTATACCTTTCTGTGGCAGGAACTTCACTTCCAGCAGAGTCGTTATTGCTATCATAGGATTTCAAGGTGCTGGCTTCTATTCGAAAATGTATAACGGTAATATGATTTCTTGTAATGGTAGCAAGAAATATCTCTGCAAAAGCTCTAATAGCGCAATTTTCCAATGTAAATGGAATCAAGAGATTCAAGAGAATCAAGAAATTGAAGGAAAGGTTGAGACATGGTTCAGAGCTCACAATCTAAAACTCAATAATGACAAGTCTCAGAGGCATTTCTTCCGTACTCGTCAGCATGGTGAAGAGAAACGAGAGGTAAAATTACTCGGTGTCACCTCAGATCAGGAATTGAGTTGGAATTCCCATATGGAACATTTGAAGCATAAATTGTCGTGTGCATTGATTCTTATACGTCAGCTCAGACATGTTTCAAATTTTGAGACTCTAAGCACAGTGTATTACTCACTTTTCCATCCATAAAATATCGTCTAATCTCACTACACAGGCTGATGTCTACCATCATAACACTAGGAATTCTGATAATATCAGAATCCCTAGATATAGGCTCTCTGTTTCACAAAAAAATTCTTCAGAGTTCAATCTTCATAATGCACTGCCACATCAAGTTAAAATATTGAATATGAATGAGTTCAAACGAACAATCAAATCGTATCTATCAAACAATAGTTTTTATTCTATCGATGGATACGTTGAAAATATTTCAGGTGATGCTGCCTTTTTCCTTTAAGAACTTACTTACCGATTGTTAATTAGAATTAGTTCACAAATATTCATTATGTATTAACCTTTGTTATTGATATTTTATTATTTTCAAAATTTCATTTTATTGTTTTCAAAATTTTATTCTGCTGAGACACAAATGACCTGCTATGAATATGCATATGTATAAGATATAGTAAAATAAACTATCTATCTATCTATCTAATATATCGCTTGAATAGGCCTATTGTAGAAGTAAAAACAAAAATTTTTTCAACTACCTAACCTTTACCAAAAGAAACTCAAATTATAAGGTTATCGTGAGGAACCATGAATCAATCACGTACATAATGATATGAATATTGACACCTGATACCTCAAAAGCACACTATATGGTGACATTGTGGGTATACAGTTTGTATCTTTCGATAATTTCAATGATAACGAAATTTCTCAATGAACTAAATAATTCTCTTGGAATGTACAACAACCCACTTACTATATAGAAATAACCAATTAAACGAGTAATTCGCAAATTATTTATAGTTTATAGGTATAATTTTGCAACGATTGATATATTGTCGACTTTGATCATATAATTCATTTTTAAGAATGAGTTTCTAGGATATTTGTATACGATATCAAGTTATGTTGATGGAACAAAATTGAACTATTCTTTAAATAAAATAAACTCAATGATTCTAGTGATGAATCTTTGAAATGGCCTACGTATCCTCATGATCTGACTACCCCTCTGAACTTTTTCTCCGTGAAAAATGAAGTTGATTAGAAACTCTACAAGGGTGCCGCAACTCTATTCATAAGCATTTTCTCGAAAACGGGTAACATTATCAACGTTCTGAAAAAACTAGCTTAAATGAGAAAGAGTGTTGCACAAAAATTAGTCATTAAAACCACTCCTCGCCAAACCACATCTTAGCACATACCACATTTTTATTTAAAGCACATCACCCCTCTATTATTGGAGTATGTTTGAGTAGCTTATTACCTTACAAACAAAATTATGTATTACACTCACCATGAATATGCCCTAGCCTAGATAATGTCAAATAAACAATTTCATAGCATAATCATAATATGTATGAGGAAATTCGTCTACCATTATCATAAATCTAAAGCCGGAATCAGACGACTGATGTAAAATAAGTTATTGAAAACAGTCTCTTGTCCAAGCAACCCTCAGCATATACTCCTTATTTTTATTTTCAAATCACATCCTCTTAGTTTCGTGGTATGTTTTTGAATAGTCTGTAGGCTCACGAATACAGTAATATATCACACTTGAAATAATTATGAATCGTAACAAGTACGAAAGTGAAGAGGGATATTATGTATTTTCCAACAATAATTCATCTGATTATGTATAGCAAAGACCACAGAATTATTGGATTGATACATCTGAATCAAAGGAGATGTTCACACTGAACACCATTTCGCTACTACCCTTTGCCATCCTTTGCAGAACCTCCCTTGTATGCAAGCTGCTGTAATTGCTTGGGGTGATATTTGATAATTTCGTGGCATGCTCGAATTATGTTGTTTTGTATACAGGGTGAGCTTCCTGAAGGTGATAAAACATTGAACAATAACTGAAGTTTGATGAATGAACTAATGGTCCAAAATTGAGGGAGATATATCCTTCCAAAGTTGATTGAATTAAAATAATTCTTCTGGATAACTTCTAACTGGTAAACGCCAACAAATTGAAATTTCCTGCATGAATGTATTTTGATGGAATACATTTTTCTGATGCACTTCTACATTTCTGCTATAGTTTATAAAGGGTGTTTTTAGTGGGTGGGTCATGGTTTTTTGATGACTATTCTTTTCCCCCTATTAATTATGCATATTAAATCCTTGAAGAATAACAGCTCTCCAGGTTTTGACAACATAAACAACAAACTATTGAAAGACAATCATTTACACGTAGTAGATCCTCTAATACACATTTTCAATCTGATTTATTTAAATGGAAAAGTTCCTGATCACTTCAAAAAGTCTATAATAGTGCCAATATTCAAATCGGGTGATAAGAATAGTATAACTAACTTTAGGCCAATTAGCCTCATTAGTGCTTTTGCAAAAATATTTGAAAAATCCCTGAAGAAAAGGTTGAGTGAATTTCTACTAGATAAGAACATTCTAAATAAGAAGCAATATGGGTTCCAGGCAGGAACCAGCACCAGTGATGCCATGTTCGATTTGATAGATCAGATAAAAGATAATTTAGAATCTAACCAAAAATGTATTGGGGTATTTCTAGACCTTGCAAAAGCTTTTGACACGGTGCCCCATGAAAATCTTCTGAACGTTCTTGAACATTACGGAGTGAGGGGCGTCGCGTTAAATGTTTTCAAAAGTTACCTGACAAATAGATCTCAACATGTGAAAATTAGAAACCAAATCAGTGATCCAGTAGATGTTCTCATAGGTGTTCCACAAGGCACAGTACTTGGACCATTGCTTTTCATAACCTACATCAATTCATTACTCTATTCCAATATAGATGACACTCTAATATCGTATGCTGATGACACAGTCCTTCTATTCAAAGGTGATTCATGGAACCATGTTAAAATGAAAGCTGAACAAGGTACTCTGATAGTGAAAAGTTGGTTAGACCTCCATAAGTTATCGTTGAACATTAAAAAAACAACATACATTGCATTCTCCCTGAACAATGCAAATAGACCAGAATTCAATTCTCTGTATATTAGGAACACAAA